ATTTTGGAAGGGGTCTTGTTCTTCTATTAGTCATCCTCTAGTTCGCCTTTTGTGACTGCTAATAAAAAGATTAGTCCCCCCCTGCTTTCTTTGTAATTTGCTGAGTTAGCTGTTAGCCAGCTAGCTAACTAAGTTTCCCAGGTAGATGAATGTAATAAACTACCGCATCTGACACTGCAAGTATATTTATCATGTCCCGCTGATAAGCATACAGGCATAGCTATAAACAATAGCTAGCCAGTTAGCTGCTTCGTCTGTAGTGACAGCATCTGTCAGTAGTGGAGATTTGGGTGCGAAGAGAGAGTTGGAATGTTTGGGGAGAGAGTTGTATTTACATGGAGGCGCTGGTCTCTTGTCAGCATTGACACCGCCCGCAACTTATGACCAGCAGGAGCCGCTGTTGCATTTATTTCTGTGATTTTTTTTTTTTTTTGTGCTGTGAATGAGAGTGATATGTAACCGTGTGTATCAAGTTTAATTGAAATCATGCATCTCGTATTACGGCGCTTGGGCTTCTGGCGCTGCACCTTAACAATAAAACAGGAAACTCTGTGCCAGTCTCTGTGTCAGTTTCACTATGTCAGCAACAAACAGTTCTGTGACAACGGCTTATGATAACATTGAAGAATGTCAAGGCGCCAGTCACAATGCAATGAGGTCCGGAGCCCAGGTGAGCTAAAACTGGTACAGCTTTACTCAGATGCATGCTTATTTTTGTACTCACGGCGTACTGGATGATTGGCACGTAATGAAAATGAAGAGTGGAATTATGGGTAAGACAAACACTTAGTCACTGAGGGGAAAGAGGGAAAGAGCAGTCCGGAACACCTTGTCCTTTGTACTGATAGTTGCACAAGGGAAAGTGCTTGAGAAAGGAGGATGCTGGGTTTTCCGTGGCAGACGTGACTGAATCGGGCTGGCTGGCGGGGGGGGTGACCAGGCGTCCCAGCCCGGCAGGGCCTGCATACCTGCGCCAGGTCAACCCACACGCGCCTCAGAGATGGATCTCAGATAGGCGCGATGAAGGGATGTTTTGATAGTAAGGAGGAGGAAGGATGTGTGGAAGACTTCCTAGAGTCCTGTTGGGAATCTTATTGTGACTCGCGTGGGGACAGATTAAAAAGCTGTCCTGTTCAGAAAGAACCCTCTGACCTCACCCACCACCAGGATTCCTCCCCCCCGTCCCGTGGCTGTAGGCTGCCCCCCTCGAGCTGATAAGCCTCCCTATGAATCTGCCATATGGGGAAAAGTGGGAAAGGGGGGAGAAACCAGGGGCTGTGGAAGTGGACTCCTCACAGGAGCCTTCCCCAAGTGGACACTGGGAGAAGTAAACACACACACAAACACTACCCCACACACACACATACACACACCATCTCACACACACACACAGAGTAGCTCTCACATACACACGTCACGCCCTTGCTTGCTGTGTGATGTTTGCAAACCACTTGAGACTACATTGGAATCAGTGAGGTCCAGAGAGCCATCCAAACGAAGCCAAGAGTCCGAGGTCACAGATCTCAACATGGAAGACTCTTACTACACTACTTTTTATTACTCCTTATTTATTACTCCAGAATCTTTTTGTCTGTGTGGTTTAATACAATATATGTGGCGTAACATGATTTTCTCTCATTATGTGCAATTTTCAAGTGATTTATACATTTGGTCTTTTCTTATTGAACAAGGAAAACATGCAGGTTACTTTGGTTCACTTTGGTTGTGTTTATTCCTTTTAACAGAAAGCAAAATGGAAATGTTGGCAGATATATGTTTACCGGGAACACCCTGGCTGTGATTGATGTTCCTATTAGTGAGTGCATCTGCGTTCTGGAGTGACAGCATGTAATCTCCTTGTCACTTAGGGTGCAGTTGCGCCGGATGTGGCTGAATTTATTTTTCAGGGGAATGTGAACGCTTTCTAATCTCCTGGCATTGGTCCAGCTCAGATCGCTTTGAGTCACAGCGGATTAAGACATGTTTGGGGAGAGGGCTGCATTGGGAGAAGGGGGGTTACCTCACTGTCCCCCCGCCTCCCCGCACGTTCCCCTGTTCGATGGGGAAAAGGACAGACCCCCGTTCCCATGCCGCTGTGCCTTTCCTGAAATTCATTCACTCCACATGGCCGTCAGTAACCGTGGTTACCAAATAAAAGCAGATAACTGGATTCCTGCCGCAGGCCTTGATTATTTTGGTTCCGCCACCATCTGTGGGGTTTTTCTTTTTTTTTTTTCTCGCAGTTTCAGACCTGCAGCTCAGAAGCATGGGTGCACACGGTCTTTAGAAACGGAGTGTTCTCTCAGCTCGGTTCAGTATTGCCGAATTTCCCTCAGGCGCTCCAAAGCCCGGGTCCTGTGGAGTCTGGTAATGAACGTGGACACAGGTAATTGTCACTTCTTAGAACTCCGAGAACAGAGTGTTCCAAAACAGTTGCTGTGAAACCATTCCGGAGGGGGTTGTTTGCAGCGTGGCTAGTTAATGCAGTTTCTGAACTGCAGCGTCTGACGCAGAAGGCATTTGGGCAGCTCCATATGTCCACTCTAATGTGGTTATTGCTAATAACGCTTGGCTGGGGAAAATTTTTTCCATCTGCATTTTTACATTCCTTTACCTTGTATTTCTCCCAGAGTTTCCAAGAGAAGTGTGTCACAATGCTCGAAAACTTTCCATAGCTGTAGAATACTACCTGCTGAATGTGCAGTAACAAATTGTACTTGTCAGGTATCCTTTTCTGTGGTAGGCCAAGGTTCCACAGAGGATAAAGAGGGCACATGAGTTCTCCTTGTTTGTAAACGATATCAAAACTCAAAAGTATGCTATCTGATGTTTGAACAGGGGCGTTTCTATGTGGCTGCTGCTGGCAGGACTGAACCAGCACGTGATTGGCTGGCCGGGAGGCTGATTTTGACCTCACAACCACATCATGGATTTATGACCCCTCATGTGACATTAAGTACTTCATGGGTATCTTAGAACCCCCACCACTGCCAGCCCCCCACCACACACACACACACACACACACACACACACACACACACACATTCCCACATCCCTCTCAATGTCAGAGCAAAAGTGATATGGGAACATGCAGGGTGAGAATGTGTGTGTGTGTGTGTGGGTGTGTGGGTCAGTGGGTTCCAATCAGAGCCTTTGCTTCCTCCTTCCTTCCGGCCAGCCATGACTCAGTGCTGGAGGCCGCACCTGTCCTCCTCGCTGGCAGCTCCGAGTCCCGGGGAACCTGTTTGTCCATGGACCGGGCCGCTCACGCCGTTTCGGGTTTCACAAACAGCAAAGGTAACAGAGAAACAGTGAAAACAGGACAGGAATGTGGAGGAGTCATCGAAGAATGAGCGTGGGCAGCTGCTAAAAATAGGCCAATGGGAAAGTCAGAAGAATGCAGAGATGTGTCTTCCTGGTAGCGAAGCCAGACTCCGCCTCCACCAGACCTCCGTCATGTTTTCCGGACACTTCCTGGCCAGTGAGACAGGAGTTTTGTTTTACATCACCTGATTGTTGATGGGTGTCTCATTTTCATGACTTGGAAACTGGTGCTGGCCTGTGACTCATGATTACGGACAGATTGCGTGTTTATAGTGCCTTTCAGAGAACGTTCACGATCTTTACAGTGAAGGGGAAGTGACTTGCCTGACCCATCACCAATGTGTACATTACATTCATTTCATTTAGCAGACACTCTTATCCAGAGCGACTTCCAGCACAAAACAGCAGAAGTATATCCATTCCAGTTGAATGAGCAACAGTGTCAGACCAGGCCGACAACACTCAGGCCGAGGTGAGATGCATGGTGGCCATTTTATACCAGTATGTCCAAAACACACCACCTGGAGAGAGAGGGAATCATTTAGCTGACTGATATGCTTTTTGGAGGGCCAGACTGAAAGATCCTGACTTGCAGTTCTGTCAGGCCTTTACTAAACGCCTTATTTAGTGAACATGCCTGCACAATAGGGTTTAATCACACCTGGAAAAAATAATAATAAATAAAATCACCATATTCCCAAAGATAGCCATGACCTGACAATGGAAATGAAGAATTGTGTGAGACCATTAATGAAAACTAGTTTGCAAGTTCAGATCCTGGGTGGGGCATTACCATATGCATATGCATATGCAACCATTGAGCAAGTTCCTTGCCTAAGTTGCTTCAGTAAATATCCAGCTATGTGTAAGCCTGGGTATGGTTTTCTGCAAATCGTAATGGAAAACACCAATAGAGAAATGGTAATGATGATGATAAGAATGTTTTGTCAGCTTGTCGAGAACACGAGACAAAGGTGTTTCATTAGAGGGGTCGTTGTGTTGATGAAGGGGAAGCTGTGTGGAGATGTGGGATGCTCAGTGAACCTGACCTGAGATCAGTGTGTTGAAGGAGGGGGGGTGTGTGGGGAATGCTGTGTTAAAGCACTGAGGAGCGAGTTAGCGAGATAGCATGCTACCCCATCTCTCTTAAAGCTGTCTTCTCTTGTTGCATTCCGTGGCGTTCCCCAAACGGGCTCTGCATTTTTCCCCCTGCGTCGCCTAAATCACTTCAAGCACTACTGGAGAGCCCTTTCAAAGGGCCTGCAGTGAGCTGACAGCATCATATGAGCATGCACGCATCCAGCAATTCTTTCCCCCCTTTTTTTTTTGCGCAAAGGCGTTGCAAAACAGCCGCCACAAAAGAGGCCGCTCACTGAACCGTGTCTCGCCTCGGCCCGGGCCTGTTTACCAGCACCCCCCACTTCAAATGCGTACAAATCACATCTAATTCTTCCAGAGGGATTCCAGGCAGGCACATGGGGGTGGGGTGGGGTGGGGTGGGGGGGGGTGATAGGGGGGTGTGTGGCAGGGGGGTGTGTGTGTGTGTGTGTGTGTGTGTGTGTGTGTGTGTGTGTGTGTGCGCAACGCAACACCCTCTCTGTTCTGTGGCCCAGTGGGATGGGAGGAATTACTTACAGTAACAGGGCCCTCAAGTACTCCCCTCTTTACTCAGTGGAGCCAGTGTAGCATAGTGGTAAGGAGCCGGGCTAATAACCGGAAGGTCGCTGGTTCGATTCCCCACCAGGTCACTGCTGCTGTACCCTTAGGGCTAGGTACCTAACCCAGAAAAGCCTCAGTAAATATGTAGATTTACAGCTGTAGACATGGATGATATATAAATTGTTCTGGATAAGGGTGCTTTAAGCAATTGACGTGACATAGCTGTCATTTCTGGGAGACATACTAAAGTCCTCATTTCATCAAACAAAATTGTTGGGATTTTTTTCCCCCACTCATTTCTGGTGCAACAGCAGCCTTGTGTGGGACGGGCTAAATATGGTGCATGAATCTGGGAGTGGGCTTGGAGAGGGATGCTGGGATATCTCTGGACTATTTGGGACAATCGGGCAGCCACTCGAACCCTCCTCCATCTCACCTGGGCAGGTATGGGGGAGGGGGAGGGAGAGGGAGAGGGGGGGTCCACTGAGAGAGAGCCGGAATCGTGGTGCTGCACCGATAAACACAGGGAAGACTGGCAAGCGTCCGTCTTATGCACTGGACTAACTATATGATCACTCCTTTCTGTGCTGTTTATTGTTTCTTTAAGACCCTAACTCATTACTTTTAATTGAATTCATTCCTTCATTCATTGTGGGGGGAAAAAAACGTTATTATCATCACAGCCTTTCTGGGGGTTTGAGGTTGCTTTGAAAGCCATGTCAGCGGCACCAGTCTCAGCTACAACAAAATCGAACAGACGAAAAACTGCGTGAGGACAGAATGTGCGTTCTGGGACAAGACACTTGAGAAGGTTTCCATGGCGTTCCGAGATTATTGGACATTCTGTTGTTTTTTTTTTTTTCCTTTTGGAGTGGGGTGAGCATGTTACAAAGCGTTTCCATCACTGGTTTGCCCCAAGCTCAGATTCCACGTCAGCGGCAGATCAGATCACTTAGCTAAAGTAACAGGGTGGCTCTGAGGAGGTATGGCTGTCACGCAGTCAGAGCCTGACTGCGCATTGCCGCTGCTTGTTCACCATCTCCCAGCCTTCCTGTGGTCACTGGAGGCTTCTCAGACCCCAGCCTACAGGGACCTATGCTGTAGGAAAGGCTCCCATTCTAGGGCCGTCTTAGCCCAGAGAAACCCTGCATTAAATAACCTTAATTACCTTACATTCTTTTTTTTCTTTTTTTTTACCATTGTGTAGGCCAATCTGGAAGATGCATTGGAAGTAGATTAGCTGACCTTTGTCTATGGTGACCGCCATACTAGCCTGAACCTTCAACTATCCACCACAGACCAGAGAACCATGCTGAACACTGTATCCCAACACCACTGAATGGAGAAATATACTCAACACTGCACCCAGCACCACAGACCAGAGAGCCGTACTGAACACCTCTTTTGCAGAGCCTTGGCTCAAAGGGTCGTGTCTTAAATCCAACATAAACACAATAAAATCTGGCCCTTCTTTTGCATACCTACTTACAGACGTGGCATGGTCTTGGGGCCCTCTTAAACCACAATGTGAGTCTTTATTCAAAAGCGTGTCGAATTTTACATGACAGATTATGATGAGAATTCAGTGCCGCGAACCCACCTCCGCGAATGAGAGTGTGATGGTACGGTTAAGCGTTCGATAAACACTGGGCCCTGGAAGGCCTGGATCAAAGCTAAAGGAGGCTGCAGAGAACACTTTGTATATGAGCAGCCAGAGGTGGCCGGGTGTCCTGGCCTATGTTTGGGGAAGGGGACCGCGGTTAAAACGATGACCTCATCAGCCGCGCCGACAGAGCCCCGAAGAAGGGCCTTTCAAGGCTAGCTCTCTAGAAAAATCTCTCCAAAAAAACTCTAGAAAAGACATGGACTACGGTGCCTTTGCTGGGGTGCTCAAATGCCATCCGGGCCTCTCTCTACTATAAAGGTAACGCTGGGTGGGTCCTGACCGCCTCAACCACTAAAAGGACAAGGTGACTCAGGGGTTAACTATGGATCTGAGAATGCATGTAATCCCCCAGCAAGCTGTAAGTCTTTTTTAAATGGGAAGCCTCCCCCCCACAGGCCCCTGTCTGGCCTCCGTTGGGGTGCAGGTGATGTTGGACAGACAGACAGACAGACAGATGGTGAGCTGTAGAATTGCTGCAGGGAGAGGATTTGTTTTGGCAGATTGCTCTCCGAGTGTTCTTAAACAATGGGGGGGCACTGTGCCCTGATTATTTGCTGGATTAGTACATCACTGTCTCAAACAAGGCCACTGTGGAGAACGGGGAAGATCAAGCGCAGAGTGAATCCGTCACAGCTCAGGCCTCCATTAAAGAAAGCCCTGAGAAAGAAAATGAAAAGAAAAGAAAAAAAATACAAAACTGACATACTCAATCAAAAAAAGGAAGTGGTGATGTTTGAAAGACAATTACAACTTCTCTTTCAGAAAAAGATAACAGTATTCAACTCCTCACTGTTAATGTGGTTTGCAAGACAAAACCTGACAGATTGCGAATGTGATTTTTTTTTTATATCAAATGCCTGGGCATTAGAATGAATGGGTGAATGGGTGAGTCAGTAACTGGCAGCAGTCTGAGCTCTGGGAAGACTGAGGTGAGTGGCGTACAGTGAAAGACCTAGCAGAGTGCTTTTAAAAACAGGGCTTAGCGCTGACAAAACAGCTGCGGAGTGATGGCAATCCACTGGCAAAACATTGGTATGGTGTTGGTAGAGTCGAGGAAGAGTTTCGGCAAAGAAGAGGAAGATCCTTTAATAACTGACACGTGATGGTCGTAACAGCAGAGTGATGGTCTCTCTCTCCCCCTCTCTCTCTCTCTCCCCCTCTGTATTCTCGACATAGCAACAGTGACCCCCATGGACGGGCGTGTGGGTGCACCCCTTTTCGGGTGTTGGTTTGTGTATATGCAGTCAGAGTGAGGCCTGTCTTGGCGCCCCTGTCAGGCCCAAATGTTATCAGCCTGGGCGCTGGGCCTTATCTAGGTTTGGTTCATCACCTTTGCACAGTTATGCACTATCACTGCTGTTTTAAATGTGTCACATGTTTTGCATAACTCATGGAAATGTTCTGTTAATGAACGTGACTGGTGCTCGGGGACTGTGTAAGTCATAGCATGCGTGCAAGGACAGAATTATTAAAAATGAGGCCATTTATGAAAAGCAAAAAAAGATAAAAAGCATAACATTACGCTTGTCTTTCTTTTTCCAAGAGAACACGCATGGTGACATTTAACGTTTTGTTTTCTTTCGGCGCGAGAGGCGCTTTGTGCTGTGGTGTGTTTTGCTAACTCCCCGATCTGCTTTGCTAACTTAATCCGATGTTACTTTAATGTTTAACGATCGCACGCTCGGAAAAATCTGCAGAAAAAGTTCGCAGCTCGTAAAAAAAAACGTATTTCTACCATTCGATTTTCTCTTAATCACCATATAAATATGGAAACACATTTGGATGTTCGCTTTAATTGGTGCCTGGCGAGGAGGGGGAGGAATTCGCTCAGCGTTTCGCAGATCAATCATAAAGCGGGCGAGGCTGCCAGCGAGGCTGGATGTATGAGGTGCCTGGATGCGTTCCACCGGCCCTCTCTGGAAAGGACTCCCCGCGTCTCCGTGTCAGGGAGTCAGCTCCGCTTCCCTTTTTTATTATTCTGGCCGCTCCGCTTGGTCACAGGATCCTGGGCCCAGCAGTAATGTAATATTTTTATTGAAAAAGTGAAAAATAATATCCATTACTTTGCGCGGCGAATGGCGCGCCCGTCGCGCTTGGTAACGAGCGGCTGACGGCGCTTAAGTGGGTTAGGATCTGGGCTCGGGACCAGGGGGTTGCAAGCTTGATTCCCAGTTATTCTCTGCCGTAGTAACCTGGAGCAAAGCACTTAGATTGAATTACCTCAATAGGCATTCAGCTGTATAAATGAATAAAATTTTACATGTAAACTGTGCGGGTCGCCCGAGGAGTAGGGTATCTCTAAGCAGATAAATAATACTAAAGCTGCCTTATCTGTTTTCCTCGGGTATTGCTTGCTCCCCTGAGGTGAACTTGTACTTTCCTGCAACAAGAAGGAACAGGTTGTATAAGCCTACACCAACCGCAGGCTGAGGTGAGTGTTTGGTAGTCTGCCGCCGATACCGGAAGCATTCCTTTGCCGTTGTGTCATGCGGCGGTCCGAGCCGAGGCGAGGGGAGCGGGTTCTCACACCGGCGGAGAGGCGTCTTTCGCTTTGTTCGTGGGGGTCGGCACACGGCAGCAAGGTGTTAGGTCACTGACTCATCCTATACCCTCACTTACTACCACTTTTAATCCGGCCCCAGGTTCCGTATAGTCCACCTAATCTACCCCTTTCTCAAAGCAAACGCTCCCACGGCTGGGTCGTTCTTTATTCAGCAGGCAAGACGACGGCCTTCTGTCTGTATGTAATACATTTACATTTTGACATTTTGTCACCTGGCAGCCCGAAGGGACATAAGAAGCAAAAGGTAGCAGAAAAGTGCATTGAATAAAGTCCCATGAGCCGCGACATTGTTTCAGGCTGGGAGTGACTGCCTTCCAGAACAGCTGAGGGAGGAGGGTGGAAGAACGGAGCCTGGCAGCGGAAGAGCTGCTTTTTTGGGGTAGGGGAGAGCAGGCCGATACCCCTGTGGATCCGTGCACAGGGGAACAGGCGGGCGGGGAAAACTTTAGAGAGCTTTAGAAACGGCTGAGCCGGAGTTTGAGAAGCACCTGGAGCTCGTTCAGGTGCCAGGACAGGGAGGGGTTGTGAACGCTGCTCTAGGGGGCGCTGTTGACTGAGAAAACAAAGCTCCTTCTGCCTTCCCCGTCTTTCTCTCTTGTTTTCCTGTTCTTTCTTTCTCTCTCTCTCTCCCTTGTTTTTTTTTTTTGTACTTTAACCGTGCTCTTTCACAGACCTGAAAGCCCGGAATGTTTCAGTCAGCCAAGGGGAATATAATCTTTCTTGCCATTTTGTGTATATGTGCATATATGTCTGTGAATGGGTGACTCTGTGTAAAATGCCTGGAAATCCCATAAGAATTCAGACACACACCTCAAATGTCTCCTCTGCTTGTGTTTTTTTCCCTTCCAGAAGGCTAACTTCATTAC